CCAGATTGCAACGCAATCTTTCTTTTTCTGTCTGCTGCAGGCGAATGAAGTAGTAGAGAAGCCAAATGAATGTCCTTACCTTGAATGATATTGGTTCTGACATTAGAAGAAGGCTGGTGAAACACATCGCCTACCAAATGATTGAGCTGGTGATGCCGTAGCGAGATTAAAAGCTGGAGTTGAGAGAGGAGCAGGAACATCCAGAAATGCAGCAGACAGGAAAATGGTTGACTGCGGTGACGTGGCAGTCTTTCTCAAGACATCCGATCCCAGATTGCAACGCAATCTTTCTTTTTCTGAATTCGTTATCGCTTTTAGCATCTTCAGAGACATTCTGTGTCAGACATTTCCCGATAGAAGGGAAGAGCTCGACCTTTATTTAGCTATGATGGCTGACTTTAACTAAAGGTACGGGGGCACCCTCTTCTATGAATACCACAAGTCATTCTCCGCTAAATCTGCATCTTTTATCACGCTGTACAATTCAAAACTAGACTGGTCTGTCACTGACTTCGAACTGCTCATTCGCCATTTCGGCGGTCAAAAAAATCTGGCTTGCTCTATTTGTAGCTCTCACGGACATTCTGCTCCATTTTGCCCTAAAGCTTTCACCAGCGACACGACGAACGCTGTCCGTGGTGCTGAAAAAGTAAGGCCCTTTCATGATGGCCGCAATCGTTGATTTCAACGGAGTCCCTATTTGTGTGAACTTTAATGAATCTGTATGCTCATTTCCTAACTGTCGATTTACTCATATTTGTAGCTTCTGCAAGGACCCGAAATCCGTCTGCCCACGCCGGTACAGACCAACTACCCGCGGGAAAGCCCCAAATCGGAAAAAATTCTCATTAACGCACATCCTTCTACTCCTATTAATGTTGCAGTTCTATCACGCTACCTCTCTTCTCACCCCGATTCGACTTTCGTTGATTACCTAATCTCCGGTCTGTCCCAAGGGTTTCGGGTGGGCATCCTTTCCCAACTCACTTCTATTTTCCTAGCAAAAAATTTTCAATCAGCCACAAATGAACCAGATGTGGTCTCCACCTTGCTAGAGAGAGAAGTTAATAAAGGATATGTTATTGGCCCTTTTGCTTCTCCCCCTTTTTCTCCTTTCCGGATCAATTCTATCGGTGTAGCCACACGCAAATACTCCGGTAAAAAACGCCTCTTTTTTGCATTGTCTTCACCGCATTTCTCTTACACAGCAAGCGTAAACGAATGTATTCCTCTTCCACCTTTTTCTCTTCACTACGCGTCAGTTGACAATGCCATTCATTTAATTAAGCTAGCCGGTCAGGGTGCTTGGTTAGCAAAAGCTGACATTACAGATGCTTTCAAGACTATGCCAATTCATCCTTCAGACTGGCCACTTTTCGGCGTCAGATGGAATTCAAAATTTTATTTCGCAGTAAGACTCACTTTCGGGTGTAGAAGCAGCCCTCACATTTTTTATAATCTCTCAGAGGCTCTGTGTTGGATCTTGTTGAACGTGTGTAAGCTACCTTTCGTTTTACATCTGCTCGATGACTTTCTGCTTATTGATTTTCCATCTAACCATTCCTCTATTCTAGACATCCTTAAAAAGGTCTTCAGCGATGTCGGCGTTCCCCTCTCCGCTGAAAAAACCATGGGCCCTTCTACTTCGCTAGAATTTCTAGGCATTACACTCGACACGATCAACATGCAAGCTTCTCTCCCTCTCGAAAAGCTTCTAAGAATTAGGTCTTTCTTGGAATCTTTCTCTTTTCTACGAGTCGTATCGAAGCGCGACGTGCTGTCTCTGCTCGGGCATTTAAATTTCGCTATGAGCATTATTCCCCAAGGCAGGACTTTCATTTCTCGATTATTAACATTGGCTCACTCTGTCCCAAATTTAAGTGATTCGATTTTACTTGACGAAGGCTGTCTGTCCGATCTCAAATTTTGGACTCGCTTGCTGAATAACTGGAACGGGATTTCCTTTTTCTATAATAACGCTCTCGAATCATCCGCTGATTTACAATTATTCTCTGACGCTGCCCCTTCCATCGGGTTCGGCGTCTTTTTTCAAGGCCAATGGGTCGCCGAAAAATGGCCAAAAGATTTTACTAAATCTGATTCTGGCTCAATCTCTTCCGCGCTCTATGAGATTTGTCCTCTCGCCATCGCCAGCGTCATCTGGGGTTCGGCATGGACGCGCAAACGCGTCTTGTTGTTTTGCGATAACGAAGTAACCGTTGCTATCATTAATAAAGGCAGATCTTCTTGCCCTAAGATCATGCCCTTCCTGAGACGCCAAGTATGGCAATCTGTCGTCTTTAATTTCATAATTAAAGTGGCTCACATTCCTGGTCACCATAACACTATTGCTGATGCGCTATCTCGTTTTCGTTTTCAGGCTTTCAGACAGCTCTGCCCTTCAGCCAATCCCGATCCAACACCATGCCCTCCCCTAGCAGCCATAATGCTAAATAAGGAGAGTTGCTCAGCTCGGCTAGACGCTTTATCTCACTGGGTGTCGCTCCCTCCACACTTAAAGCTTACATTTCAGCATGGTCCGCTTTCGTTATGTTTTGTTTTTCCATGCATATTGCGTTATTTCCCATCTTGATTTCGACCGTTTGCTCTTTTTTAGTTTTCAATTTTGAAAATCGCAACCTTAAAATTTCTTCTTTACGTAGGTTGCTCGCTGGTATTCAATTCCATGCTAAATACTTTGATCCTAATTTTCCAAGTCTCTTCTCGGCATATTCTGTCCGATTATTACTTAAAGGCTTAGCTAAATCCTCTACTAAAACACCAGACAAACGCTTGCCAATTACATTGCCTTTATTGCACAGGCTTATTACTTCTCTTCGGAACGGTCTCTTTTCTACCTATTCAAACATTCTGCTCGAGGCTGTTTTCCTATCAGCTTTCTATGGTTTCATGCGTGCAGGTGAATTCACCTCAGAAACCAAACATTTCGATCCTGCCCGTGGTATTTCTTTTTCCGACCTTCGCTTTTCACCCGGTTTCTTCACTCTCTTTCTTAAACACTCTAAGACCGACTCTCAAGGCTCGGGTGTCACAATAACTATTTCAAAGATTAATAACACTTTCTGTCCCTTTCTATCCATGATTAAATTTCTTAAAATTCGTCCCTCTACTCCCAGTCACGCCTCTTTATTCATTCTTACTAACGGAGCACCTCTCTCCAAAACCTGGTTTAGGACTCATTTAGTTTCTGCCCTCAAAAGCTGCTGTTTACCCCCCTCCCTTTATGCCGGTCATTCGTTCCGGATTGGGGCAGCCACCACAGCAGCCGAAAGAGGAGTGTCTACATCAGCTATCAAAATAATGGGAAGATGGTCTTCCTCAGCTTTCGAATCCTACATAAGAACTGATTCAAAAATTATCATTGAAGCCCAGCAAGCTCTCCATTAATAATCCAGGTAAATCCTCTCGCAACTACTGGTGGTGGTGGTACTACGTTATCCACTTGAGCGCAGTTCAATTTGCACTATCTGATAACGCCCCTCTGTACTCGTCTCTGTGTTTGTGTTTTGTCCCGCGGTGTCTCCGCTCATCTTCTGTCTTTATGTGATCCTCCTCGGCCACTAGTCTAGCCGTGGTCCGTGCAGGCTATCATAGCTTTGTCCTTACGGTCCATCGCTGCCTGGTCTGTCTGGTCTAGTGGCCTTGTTTCGTGAATATTGTCTTTCATGTGGCATTAGCGGACGGTGTGGCTCCTAAGCGGTCTCGTCTCTGTGGTCTCCCATGGCCGTGTGGCCTATCGTGAAAATGTGGCCTATACATTTTCATTCAATACTTTATGCAGGCCTACTGCTTCATACAGCAGCTCTTGAGAAGCTGCGCTGGCTGAGTCCTCCGGCTACTCTCGAATACTTACTCTATCGCGCTACTTTGATGGCATACGTCACAGTCACGTGGCGTCTGCGCTTTATCAAGTCGGACAAAATTTCTAACCGGCATGCACTGCTTCAAGTCAGCCGGCGATCGGTCTGCGCAGAGCTGCATGAAGTCGAACAAGCCTTTCACCTTTTCCAAGTGTGTTACCATGTGTCACAGATTTGGGTGTCATATGGTCAAACGTCAAAAAAGGGTATAATACATTTAAAATTTGAAAAAATATTGATTTACAGGTGAAATATTAAGTTTAAAAGTCAAGGTCAAGGGTAAAGGTGGAAGGAGGTGGCCAAGCAACTGCCTGTTATAAATGACAAAGCATGACAAAGCATAAAACTGTCATAAGGGCAAACAAAAAATGTCATACAGACAAACGATTTTACCGTATGACATGTTGTTATACCATATGACACAGAGCATTTAACTGAATTATTTAGTTATTTCTTAATTGTTATATCACATATATAGTTTGTACAACTACTATGAATTAATATTAACATATATAATATATTTCTGCCTATTTTAAGCATTTTTTCACATTATTACAGGTGCCTCTTTCTAGTAAGGAGAGGGGTGCACGTTTCCGTGCAAAGCTAAGGGCAGATCCTGCAGCTAGAGAGGAGAACCTAGCCAAGAGGAGGGAAAGGTATAACTGTGAGAGTATATGATGTCAGTAATGTCAGGATGTGCCAGTTTTGTCAGTTTAGGCAGTATCTTATCTATAGGCCTGAGTTGAAGTCAGCATCACAATGTTTCTGGAAAGTGGCTTCATATATATAGATATATTATTCATGTGTGTGTGTGTGTGTGTGTGTGTGTGTATGCGTGTGTGTGTAAATATACATATATATAAATGTATGTTTGCGTATGTGTATTTGTATTATGAATAAATATCAATACTTGTACGTATACACACAGGCAACGGCAGAGGAAACAAGCTGGACAGGGTGATTATTATCGTGCCGTCAAAGAGTTGACAGTAGCTGCACATGCAAAGAGGAAGGAACAGTGGAGGCTCAACCAGAGACAATCCAGAGAGAAAAAGAGGCAGGTGGAGGCATTGATGAATCTGACACCAGTCTCTGGGGACTCTTTTGTGGACGAACACCATGACCATCCTGGGCCGTCTCAACACTCCTCACCACCTGGGCCATCGCAAGACTCCTCACCACCTGGGCCGTCTCAACACTCCTCACCACCTGGGCCGTCTCAACACTCCTCACCACCTGGGCCGTCTCAACACTCCTCACCACCTGGGCCGTCTCAACACTCCTCACCACCTGGGCCGTCTCAACACTCCTCACCACCTGGGCCGTTGCAACACTCCTCACCACCTGGGCCGTCTCAACACTCCTCACCACCTGGGCCATCGCAACACTCCTCACCACCTGGGCCATCGCAACACTCCTCACCACCTGGGCCGTCTCAACACTCCTCACCACCTGGGCCATCGCAACACTCCTCACCACCTGGGCCATCGCAACACTCCTCACCACCTGGGCCGTCGCAACACTCCTCACCACCTGGGCCATCGCAACACTCCTCACCACCTGGGCCGTCTCAACACTCCTCACCACCTGGGCCGTCGCAACACTCCTCACCACCTGGGCCATCGCAACACTCCTCACCACCTGGGCCGTCGCAACACTCCTCACCACCTGGGCCGTCTCAACACTCCTCACCACCTGGGCCGTCGCAACACTCCTCACCACCTGGGCCGTCGCAACACTCCTCGCCACCTGGGCCATCGCAACACTCCTCACCACCTGGGCCGTCTCAACACTCCTCACCACCTGGGCCGTCGCAACACTCCTCACCACCTGGGCCGTCGCAACACTCCTCACCACTTGGGCCGTCGCAACACTCCTCACCACCTGGGCCGTCTCAACACTCCTCACCACCTGGGCCTTCGCAACACTCCTCACCACCTGGGCCATCGCAACACTCCTCACCACCTGGGCCATCGCAACACTCCTCACCACCTGGGCCGTCGCAACACTCCTCACCACCTGGGCCATCGCAACACTCCTCACCACCTGGGCCATCCTAAAAGGAGATTAGAGATAGAAAAGGAGACCCTATCCTGGAGATAGAAAAGCTAAAAAGGATGTTGTGAGAGAAAAGAGAAGAGCAGATAGATTTCGCAAGAAAGCCAACAGGGTGATGACAGCAAAATACAGAAAAGCAAGAAAAAACATGTCAACAAAGGTTTTCAGGATGGGGCCAGCAAGAAGACAGAGTGTGGTGGAGTTCCTCACTAGAGATGAGAACAGCCATCTCCTAGCTGGAAAAAAGGACACAGTATCAAAGGATAGGGTCAAAGAACAGCGTCGGGTGTTGAGCTTCATAAAGACTACGATGCAGAGGCAGGAGAGAGACGGGCAGTGTCATACCGGCAGTTTGTCCGCCTCCGTCCATTTTATGTAACTGAGCCAAAGGCTAATGACCGAAACACCTGTGCCTGCCTAGACCATGAGAATGTAAGCCTTCTACTCGAGAAACTACACCAGAGTGGCCTTGTAGGCAGTAGAAGTACTTCTGAAGCACTCGCGCACATTGTGTGCGATTTGAAAATTAGGGCGTGTATGTTTAGGCTGTGTGCAAAATGCTGCTATAACGATATGGAGCTACTCCTACCAGACAAAACCCGCCAGGTGTCATGGAGTCAATGGCAGAGAGAGAGAGTCTGCACTGAAGGTAAAACCTATTCACATTTTGTGAAGAAAACTCTGACTGGGACGTGGGAGGGTCTCATGAAGAGTTTCAATGAAAAACTTGATGGATTGGCCAAGCATCAGTACACATGGATACATCAGGTGGAACAATACAGGGCCCTCGAGAACAGTCTCCAAGACCATGAGGCTGTAGTCCACATGGACTTTTCTGAATTTTTTTATATGAGCTATTACTGTAAATTATATGAGATTAGGTTGTTCATAACCTTTTGATAGCAGACATGAATGTTACTGTTCTTTTTTAACTAAATGTTGAAAACTGATTTTTTCACAAGTTATCTCACTGTTGTAAATCTGACTGATATTGTCATGTATTACATATAGCATGTCCTATGTGTTCCTTGTACTGAAAGAGAGTTGAGTTGACTAAAAGAAATGTTCATGTGTTGGGAAATATATTCTACTGTTAATAAAAGGTTCACTTGAGATGCCTTGTGTTTCTTTGAAATCATTTTGAATTGGCCTACATCAATTTATTACATTAAAAATGCAATGAAACAATGTCATTCGGTAAAACAAAATATGTCATATGGTAAAACATTGAATTTTAAAAGAAATAAAAATAGATACTTTGTTTACATGGTTCATGAAAATAATGGAGGAGAGCTAGTATGATATACATATATATATATATAACTTCAAGGCATTTTTGACTAATTTCTTGCAAAAAAAATAAAACAAATGTCCACAGATGACATGCTGTAGTTGTTAAAAAAAAAAAAAAATATCTAGTATTTGTGATGTAGGTGTTTATATTTTGCAACTTGTTATAGAATACTTACAGATCAACTATTACATTCATGGTTGTATTTAACTGTGTCATGAATATCAAATTTAATTTATTTCTAAAAATCCCTTCGTTTTACCTTATGACATTTTCAAGGACTGTATACAAAGAAACACATTAAAATGTCATATATTGTTATTTTTTATAAAGGGCACTAATAAAAACAAAAAATATACACATAGATTTACACAAAAATGCTATATTTAATTTGTCCTTTCATTTTTTAGTTTTTTTTACTGTTTTGAAATTCTAAAACGTCACTGACCCATTTGTACTTTTCCATCATTCGAAGCGATGAAAGCTCATCTGTCAAGATCTCATAATGATTCATGTAGAGTAGATGCAACTGAAGGAGCATGTGTTTTTTTTTTACATGTCCTTTGTGTAACTTCAAGTAGCCATTTTCTGAGGAAATTCTATTCATTTGAGGTCATTTGAGAAGTAATTTAGGAAGTCATGAGATGGTAGCATGCCCATTCAAGAACTGTAATTACAGAACAAATAGCTACTCAGCGTTAAATGCACACAAAAGTAGACAACATTGTGGTGATTCAGACTTTGGTGAATGTGTTGTATTGGCAGGCAATGATAATGCCCCAGTTGTAGTTGCAGCAGAAAGTCTTGGGGAACCTGCTGAAAGTCACAGTGCAGAGTCTGCGGACACATTTGATCTCGATGAGGTTAACAGTCAGTGTGACACAGACACAGTTGACCCATAACTTGGCATCATTATTCCTAAAGATTCAATCTATTCCTCATGTATCTGACATGGCATCTCAGTAAGTAATGGAACATTTGACTCAGATATTTTCCTTGTCCCAACCGATACTCAAACATGACAATAGAGAGGTCTTACAGAGTCATGACGTCACTGTCAGTGAAACACTTCTAAATGAGGTACTGTTATGGACAGTAATGTTATTGTCAGTGCCACAGCTAAGGGGAAGCAGTTATCCTCAACCAAGAGAAGGAAAACCTTCATCGAAAATAATTACCCTGTGGTAAAGCCTGTACAGTCTCTGCTACAGCCATGACACACAGCAGTTCATGTTCCCATTGTTGAGATGCTACAAAAAATCTTCAATCAAACAGATATTTTGGACAAAATTAAAGAAGCAAAAGTGGCATAAAACAGTCATTATGTAAGACACCAAGATGGTTCGTACTTCAAAGAGAACACATTCTTGTCTTCAGATGAGTTAATGATAACACTCATTTTGTACATAGATGATTTGGAAATAGCCAATCCACTTGGCACATCACGCAAAATACACAAAATCTGTTCAGTATACTGGACGCTTGCTGATCTTCCCAGTAAATACCGATTGGCCCTGCATGTGATTCAGCTTGCAGCTTTATGTAAAGTGGCTCACATACAGACATTTGGCTATGAAAAAGCACTTGGTCCTTTGTTGAGAGACCTCCGTACCCTTGAACAAGATGGGGTACTCATTGAGTCTATTGGTAAGGTAGTTCAAGGAACAGTCATGTGTGTGGTGTCTGACAATCTTGCAGCCCATGATTTGGCAGGCTTTTCAAAGTCTTTTTGAGCAGAATATCTTTGCAGATTCTGCACAGCGACACAAGCTAAACTTCAGACTCATGAAGTTGCAAGTGGCGAGTTCAGTCTTAGGACAAAAGACAGCCATAATAGTGATGTGTGCATGCTGTAATGCATGGGGATAGTCAGAGTCAGAATGGTGTTCAGGCAGATTGTGTCCTGAACCAGGATCTAGAGTATTTTCATACTTTCCACCTGATGCCCTCCACGATCTTTTTGAGGGCATTGTGCCCGTAGAGCTCGCCCTGTGTATCGGAGAGATGATCCGTCGCAAATACTTCCCCCTTGAATATTTGAACCATACAATTCTATCGTTTCCATACCAGCACACAGACAAGCTTGACAAACCTCATAAAATACCACAGACCTTCGCTGTAAAGAAAAGCATTGGTGGTAATGGCCATGAAAATGCCACATTGCTTAGACTGCTCCCTTTGATTATTGGGAATGCAGTTACTACTGGCCCTCTTCAGCCCTGAGAGCATCTGTATAGTCGTGGAGGATGAAATACTTCTGACTGGTCCCACAAATCTGGCTGACTCATTTCTCCTGCTCTTTGGTCTATGCACTAGACCTACAGTTCCCAAAGAATCTCGAGCTTACATTCACATTTATCCAATAAGTTGTGATGTGTCTTGAGGACAACAAACCACTGAAAGGGCGTCTACTGACGCTGAAGAATGATTTGTTTAATTAGTGAATCACTCAAAATGGACTATTTGTTGAGATGAGTATTGACTGAGGACGTTTTTTTGTTTTTTTTCCCCCTCTTTACAAATGTAATCATTTGCCTCTTCTACCTCAGATTTAAGATGTGACACTGTTTGCCTCTTCTACCTCGGATTTAATACATTGATTGTTAATAATAGATAAATATCACAACATTGATGTATTGCCCAGCCCAAGTTTTTGTACTTGTGGGAAACGACTGATCAATTCATGCGCTATACATGTTTAATGTTCTGTTGCCTAATGCCTACCATGATGCACTACCTTGAAGTTGCCAGTTGAAGTACGGCACAGTAGAAACCAGTACTTTATTTGAATGTTTTATTTTTAAAAATTGAGTTGCAGCCTTCAAGGTACAGTAAGTGCCAAAATGTTTTTAAACAGTGTTAAATGGCTCCACATTCTAATAGTCGTCATTGCTGTTGAGGATGGATTATACTTAGAATCTTATTGAATTTTATCATGAATCCTTTGTGAGTTTTTATCATAATGTTTACTGAATAATGTGAGATGGAGACCCAAAATACTAAATATACCCTCTTTAGCAATGACCACTATCAGAATATGGAACTATTAACACTTAATGTACTTTAAAACACATTTTGTTTTTATGGAGTCATTTCCTTTTCCTTTTCCTTTTGTTTTAATTTATGACAAGCACTTTGTTTTGACTGAGCTCGTTTGATTCGTACCTTTTAAAAAGCACATTGTGTTGAATAAAAAAAGTTGTTAAATTGTCACTGTGGTGTCACTTTCATGTTTTCTAACATTATTAGCTGATTATAATTGTGTACTGGGCCGACATCAGTATTTCAGTTTAGAATAAATTTTGAGTGCATGTCCCACATTATGAGTTGAAAATTATAATTAAATAATTATACGTTGAGGAATATCAATATATATAAGATAACATTAAGATAATTTAAGGCAACTGTAAATGTAATTTTTATTTTATGTAAACTTAAAACATTTAAATACATCACTAAAATATTTTTATGTAATCTGTTACAAAATAATTTTGGAGTTCTGTGAACTTATTAGGGTTTACAGTGTACTGAAATATTTCCTTCTGTCTGAATTTTAGTGGAATTGATTTCCACTTTAACTGATGCTTTTCTGACTATGCGTATAATTTCTCGGACTTCTTTCATCCTTATCATAATCCCTTTGTCCTCTTTTTTTGACGGTACGTCCGAATGTTTCATTAATTAATGTTTTTTTCCTCTTTCCTTCTGAGGGCTTATACAACTTTTTTTTTTTAAGACACCTATTATGCAAAAT